AGCTCACAGCTTTCATTGAGAACTCACAGGCCTCAGATGGATGAAGATATTCTTTCGGAATAGGCTCAATCTGCCTAGGTCTCCCCATTTTCCACTTTGCTTTTTTTTTTTTTTTGAGACAGAGTTTCACTTCTGTTGCCCAGGCTGGAGTGCAGTGGCGCGATCTCGGTTCACTGCAACCTCCGCCTCCCGGGTCCAAGCGATTCTCCTGCTTTGGCCTTCCAAGAAGCTGGAACTACAGGCATGAACCACCACGCCCGGCTAATTTTTTGTGTTTAGTAGAGATGGGGTTTCACCACGTTGGTCAGGCTAGTCTCGAACTCCTGATCTCAGGTGATCTGCCCACCTCAGCCTCCCAAAGTGCTGGGATTACAGGTGTGAGCCACCATGTCCAGCCCCACTTTGCTTTTATGAACCCTGCCAGTGACTTGGTCCTGGCATGGAAATTATTAGACATATTTATTTAAAATGGAGTCAGGCTGAAAGGGTTCGAGAAAGGAGGCTGTGCACAGTCGTCTGTGGTCTCAGTGTTCCTGCCGCTCCTCGCCACTGTAACAGCTTTCTTTAGGCCTTTGGTGATATGTGGTTAAAGCTAGGTGGCAGCAGCAGCATAAGATGACAAGGCAAGAAGCCAGGTTTGGGAGACTGAAAAGAATGTTTCACGTCCCCAGACTTTACCCACTTTGCTCCTGTCTGCACTGAGTCAGCGCCTAGAAGTCTGGCCGCTTGAGCAGGTGAATTCGAGAAACAGAAGTCAGGCAATGCTGGAGCCCCATCAGGCCTCGGTAGGTATGGGAAGTAGAAAAGTTCCTTTTTAAAGTTTCCTGTCTTGTTAAAGAATAAGTGTGCTAATAACTTTGTTAAGCCCTATCCTAGGTAGCTGTTAGATGTGCCATGCTTACAGGCACATAGGACATTCTGTGTCCTTGTACTTTAACCAAGATATCTGTGCTGGACATGCTCACAGGCATGTCCCCGCTCTCCATTGCTTTTACCTGTTTAAAAAAGTTTTAAGTTGTTAGCCAATCGGGTTTTAGCTTAGATTGTGAGGTCCGACTCCAGCCAACGGAGATCAGACACAGCAGTAAAGACAACCCCAAATGCGTAAGGAAGAAATTTGTTTGTTCTTATGTTCATTGTACTCTCGTGGCAAGATGGCTAGTGACAGTACCCTTCCTGCAGTCCAGAAAGTAAAAATTGCATTGCTGAAAGATCCTTTGTCTCAGTGCTGATTCTTCTTTGCGGCGCTGAGCATCTATTTCCGACAGTAGGAAACTCCATTTCCTTTCCAGGGGAAGCACAGTGGGGACTGCCCAGCTCCACGGCATGGACAGTTCTTGGTCACTCCTCGATGAGCCAGTCCCCTGATTCAGCACAATGCAATCATGCTCTCAGCTACATGAGAGCATGGCTTGTTGTGGAGGGAGCTAAGGGGTAACGTCATGTCCCCTCCCCACCTGATGCCTGCCTTGTGAAGAAGGGAAAGAGAGAAAATACCTCTCTGACGAGCCTCCACTTCACTCTTTGCTTATAGAAACTTTGCTCCAGGAGGATGTATTCATCAAGGTCTCACTTTATCCTGATTTTGTTGCATTTGATTTCCTGTGAATTTTTAAAACTGGGCCAGGCGCGGTGGCTCACACCTGTAATACCAGCACTTTGGGAGGCCAAGGTGGGTGAATCACGAGGTCAAGAGATCGAGACCATTCTGGCTAACACGGTGAAACACCGTCTCTACTAAGAATACAAAAAATTAGTCAGATGTGATGGCACGTGCCTGGATCCCAGCTACTCGGGAGGCTGAGGCAGGAGAATCGCTTGAACCTGGGAGGCAGAGGTTGCCGTGAGTCGAGATTGCACCACTGCTCTCCAGCCTGGTGACAAAGTGGGACTTAGTCTCCAAAAAAAAAAAAAAAAAAAACACCTGTGGCCACTTGAACTCTCCCTCACCCCCCCCAAAACAGGACTGCAGGCAAAATAAAGATATTTACAAATACAGTAAGTCCTAACTTCACCCTGTCAATAGGTTCTTAGAAACTGCAACTTTAAGCAAAATGACATATAATGAAACCAATTTTCTTTTCTCCTCACTGTTATAACAAAATGACATTGAACAAAACGACATTATTCAATGACCTGCTTTAGTCCATTCTGATTAAAGTTGCAGTTTCCAAGACGTACCGAAGACATTAAATGAAGACTGACTATACTGAGAATTTGGCACCAGCAGACTTTCCCATAAAAGAACTTGTACAGAATGTACTGTGGAAAGAAAAGATGTGATCTCAGATGGAAGGTTAAAGATGGAAAAAGAGAAAATGAGCAAATAAAGTAGTACATAAGTGGGTAATCTAAAATATCATTGAGTTCAAAAGCAGTACGATCTTAGGGTTAAAAAAAAATAGAACAATGATATCCAGTAGCAGTAGTAAGTCAGGCAAATGGTGATTCAAGTTGAAATTCTCTAAAGGTCTCATGTTTTTAACAGGTAAAGATCTTAATTTAAATATGATGTTACTGTTTGAATATCAAAATTTACAGGATGACCACTAAAGCAATAGCAGTTGTACTAGAAGAGGCTAATGCTTTAAAAAAAACATATTCAAAAATATAAATTTGCTGAAACACAATGGAAATGTATTTCTTACTCCTGTGACAGTACTGGATAGGTGAAAAGGTCTTTGGAGTGGTTCTCCCTTCACAAAAATTTGTTTTCTAGGAGATTTGTTTCTCCACAGAGATTTCTTTTTTTGTTGGTGTATATCACATGGTCTTAATTATTATAGGTTTCAGGCCCGGCACAGTGGCTCATGCCTGTAATCCCAGCACTTTGGGAGGCTGAGGCAGGTGAATCACCTGAGGTCGGGAGTTCGAGACCAGCCTAACCAACATGGAGAAACCCCGTATCTACTAAAAATACAAAATTAGCTGGGTGTGGTGGCGCATGCCTGTAATGCCAGCTACTTGGGAGGCTGAGGCAGGAGAATCGCTTGAACTTGGGAGGCGGAGGTTGCAGTGAACTGAGATCATGCCACTGCACTCCAGCCTGGGCAACCAGAGTGAAATTCCGTCTCAAAAAAAAAATTACTATAGATTTCAAATAGTTATTGATAATAGGAAAATGAGTTCCTCCTCTTAGTTTTCCTCTATTAGGTGTATCTTGGCTATTCCTGCTTCTCTAATCATCAACAAATAATTTAGTCAGCTTTTCAAGTTTTACAAAAAATACCTTTTGAGATTTTCATTGGAATTGTATCAAAGTATTTATCGACATGTGCACAATATTGAATTTACTTTTTCATAAACATGCTATTTATTCTCAATTACTTAGACTTTCCATGCTTATTTACAATGCAGAATTTTTTACTCTCATCAAAACTCTAACATGTCTCTTGTCGTGTTTATTTTATGGTATGCTATACTTTTAGAAGCTATAATTGTTTTATGTTCTCTGCTGATTGCTATTGTATGTAAATGCAATTGCTGGCCAGGCATGGTGGCTTGTGCCTGTAATCCCAGCACTTTGGGAGGCAGAGGCAGGTGGATCACGAGGTCAGGAGTTCAAGACCAGCCTGGCCAACATGGTGAAACCCTATCTCTATTAAAAATACAAAAAAAATTAGCCAGGCACAGTGGCTCATGCCTATAATCCCAGCACTTTGGGAGGCTGAGGCAGGCGGATCACCTGAGGTCAGGAGTTCGAGACCAGCCTGACCAACATGGAGAAACCCTGTCTCTACTAAAAATACAAAAATTAGCTGGATGTGGTGGTGCATGCCTGTAATCCTAGCTACTCCAGAGGCTGAGGAAGAAGAATCGCTTGAACCCAGGAGGCAGAGGTTGTGGTGAGCCAAGATTGCACCATTGTACTCAAGCCTGGGCAACAAGAGTGAAACACAGTCTTTAAAAAATAAATAAATAAATAAATAATTAGTGGGGCGTGATGGCACATGCCTGTACTCCCAGCTACTTGGGAGACTGAGGCAGGAGAATAGCTTGAACCCTGCAGGTGAAGGTTTCAGTGAGCCAAGATGGCGTCATTGCATTCCAGCCTGGGCAACAAGAGTGAAACTCCGTCTCAAAAAAAAAAAAGAAAGAAAGAAATTACCATATACCCTTTCATATTTTGGTACTATGAAGAACTATATAAATTGATTTTCTAATCAATTAAACCCTGAACTGCTGGGGAAAAATCATCTTGGTTATTTTTGTCATTTTTAAATACTACTAGATTTTTGTCTAGGACTTTTGCATCTACATATTTCTGAGAAAACTAGGCTTGTAAATTTCCTTTGACATGTTCTCATATCTTCTCTGTCGAGTTTTAGTATCGAGGTTATGCTAACCTCATCAAATGGGTTGGCAAATGTTCCCTCTATTTCTGTAATCTAGAATAATTTGTATGTGATTATAATTGTTAGTTCCTTTATCATTTCTGAAATAAGCAGCTAAGTATCCAACAACAGTGGTGACAGAAGAACAGGATAAACCCAAAGAAGATAAAATAAATTATACATATAATAACAAAAATAATGAAATGAGAAACAGAAAATAGGGAGTGTTGACAAAGCCAAAATTGAGTTTTTAAAAAAAAACAAAATAGGCCAACATATAACAAGATCAGTTCAAAGAAAGTAAGGTAACAAGAATGAACCAAATTAAGAATGTAACTATAGATCAGTAGTTAAAACTACAAACAACCGATTGAGGGGATCATGGTGGACCGGAAGCAGGACTCCACTGCAGCTCCGGACAGAGCAGCGTGCGGAGGCTCGCATTGTGAATTTTAGTTTTAGATCGACTGAAAAAACAAACCAGCAATCCCAAGAGGACCCACAGACCCCCTGAAGGAAGCAGACTGCTCCTGTAGGATCTGGGAGACCCCCCACAAAACTGCGAGTGCCCCAAAGGTGGAAGTGAGAAAGGGAGGCCTTCTTCTCCCAAATACCCATCCCCACTGGAGAAGCTGAAGGTCTGTTTGCAGAAGTTTCCGACTTTACCTGGAGCTGAGTCAAGTTAGAGAGCCAAGCTGAGCGAAATACAGGGGTAGAGGAAGCAGCAGAAAGGCCCTGGGAGCTCGCTGGTTCCCCATACAGCCCATTCCTGCCTGGTACCACGGCGATCCAACTGGAAGGTGGCCAGAGGAGCAGCGGGTAAAACTCCACAGGGCGAAGGAATTCTCTAGCTGAACTTTGTAACAACTTAAATGGGGAGAGAAGCCTCCCAGCCAGAACTCGGGGGAGGGCACAATTCGGGAATGCAGACTTCACAGGTCGGGAAGAACTAAAGCCCTTTTCTCTCAAAGCCGGGAGGCAGATAGCCTTGGGCACATTTTCAAGCCTGTCTTGTCTTGCCCTTGTCCTCTTGCCCTTCATCCTCCGCCTGGAAACAGACTTAGGGCTGTTGGGTAGGGTGGGGGGGGGGGCATGGTGGGAGTGAGATGGCCTTTCATTTTGCTTCATTTTGCATGGGAGCTGCATGAGGCCTGTGACTGACCACTTTCCTCCACTTCCCTGACAACCTGCATGACTCAGCAGAGACAGCCATAATCCTCCTAGGTCCATAACTTCAGTGACCCAGGAATCCCACCACCAGCCACCACAGCAGCCACAGTGAGACCAGCCCAAGAAGAGTCTGAGTTCAGATATGCCTAGCCCCACCTCCACCTGATGGTCCTTCCCTACGTGCCCAGGTAGCAGAAGACAAAGGACATATAATCTTGGGAGTTCTAGGGCCCTACCCACCGCAGTCCCTCTCCATTCTACCACAGCTGATACTTTTTGGAAAGCACCACCTCCTGGCAGGAGGCCAAATAGCACAAAAATAGAACCTTAGACCACCAAAGCTAAGAACCCTCAGGAAGTCCATTGCACCCCAGCCACCTCCACCAGAACAGGCACTGGTATCCACAGCTGAGAGACCCATAGATGGTTCACATCACAGGACTCTGTGCAGACAACCCCCAGTACCAGCCTAGGGCCAGGTAGACTCGCTGGATGGCTAGACCCAGAAGAGAGACAATAATCACTGCAGTTAGGCTCATGAAGAGCCACATGCATAGGAAAAGGGGGTGAGTACTACATCAAGGTAACACCACATGGGACAAAAGAATCTGAGCAACAGCCTTTTGCCCTAGACCTTTCCTCTGACAGAGCCTACCCAAATAAGAAGGAACCAGAAAACCAATCCTGGTAATATGACAAAACAAGGCTCTTCAACACCCCCCAAAAATCACACTAGTTCACCAGCAATGGATCCAAACCAAGAAGAAATCTCTGATTTACCTGAAAAAGAGTTCAGCAGGTTAGTTATTAAGCTAATCAGGGAGGAACCAGAGAAAGGCAAAGCCCAATGCAAGGAAATCCAAAAAATGATACAAGAAGTGAAGGGAGAAATATTTATGGAAATAGATAGCAAAAAACAATCAAAAATTCAAGAAACTTTGTGAAATGCTCTGGAAAGTCTTAGCAATAAAATTGGACAAGTAGAAGAAAGAAATTCAGAGCTTGAAGACAAGGTCTTCGAATTAACCTAATCCAACACAGACAAAGAAACAAGAATAAGAAAATATGAACAAAGCTTCCAAGAAGTCTGGGATTATGTTAAATGACCAAACCTAAGAATAATCGGTATACCTGAGGAAGAAGAGAATTCTAAAAGTCTGGAAAACGTATTTGGGGTAATAATCAAGGTAAACTTCCCCAGCCTTGCAAGACACCTAGACAGCTAAATACAAGAAGCACAACCACCTGGGAAATTCACTGCAAAAAGATCTTAGCCTAGGCACATTGTCATCAGGTTGTCCAAAATTAAGAGGAAGGAAAGAATCTTAAGAGCTGTGAGACAAAAGCCCCAGGTAACCTATAAAGGAAAACCTATCAGATTAACAGCAGATTTCTCAGCAGAAACCCTATGAGCTAGAAGGGATTGAGAACTTATCTTCAGCCTCCTCAAACAAAACAATTATCAGCCAAGAATTTTGTATCCAGCGAAACTGAGCATCATATATGAAGGAAATAACACAGTCGTTTTCAGACAAATGCTGAGGGAATTCACCATTACCAAGCCACCACTACAAGAACTGCTTAAACGAGCTCTAAATCTTGAAACAAATCCTGGAAACCCATCAAAACAGAACCTCTTTAAAGCATAAATGACACAGGATCTATAAAACAAAAATACAAGTTAAAAAGCAAAAACAAAGTACACAGGCAACAAAGAGCACAATGAAAGCAAGGGACCTCACATTTCAATACTAACATTGAATGTAAATAGCCTACATGCTCCACTTAAAAGATACAGAACTGCATAATGGATAAGAACTCTCCAACCATCAGCTGCCTTCAGGAGACTCACCTAACGCATAAGGACTCTCATAAACTTAAAAGGGGTGAAAAAAGGCATTTCATGCAAATGGACACTAAAAGCAAGCAGGAGTATCTATTCTTTCTTTTTTTTTTTTTTTTTTTACATGAAGGCAATTTATTAACAGAAAACATTTTGAGGAGTCTTGTTCACAGACGGGGACCACGGCGAACCCCCTTCCTGCGGGTGCTGTCAGAGGGGATGGGGGTGACATCCTCAATCTGCTCGATCTTCATACCCGAGCGGGCAAGGGCTCTGAGGGCCGACTGGGCTCCAGGTCCAGGGGTCTTGGTCCTATTTCCTCCTGTGGCCCGGAGTTTGATGCGTAGGGCAGTGATACCTAGCTCCTTGCACCTCTGGGCCACATCCTGGGCAGCCAACATAGCAGCTTACGGCGAGGATTCATCTCGGTCTGCCTTCACCTTCATCCCACCAGTCACACGGCAGATGGTTTCTTTGCCGGAAAGATCAGTGACATGGACAAAAGTGTCATTGAAGGATGCAAAGATATGGCAGACACCAAATACATTCTCTCCTTTAGCCACCTGAGGTCCAAGGCTGATGACCTGTTCTTCCTTCTTTTCCTTCCCCTTTCGAGGTGCCATTTCTGCATGTCGTCTCTTATACCAAAACAAACAAACTTTAAAGCAACAGCAGTTAAAAGAGACAAAGGGCCAGGCGAGGTGGCTCAGGCCTGTAATCCCAGCACTTTGGGAGGCCAAGGTGGGTGGATCAGCTGAGGTCGGGTGTTCAAGACCAGCCTGACCAACATGGAGAAACCCCTTCTCTACTAAAAATACAAAATTAGCCACACATGGTGGTGCATGCCTGTAATTCCAGCTATTTGGGAGGCTGAGGCAGGAGAATCGCTTGAACCTGGGAGGCGGAGGTTGCAGTGAGCCAAAAGTGTGCCATTGCACTCCAGCCTGGACAACAAGAGAGAAAATCCATCTCAAAAAAAAAGAGAGACACAAAGAGGGACAGTATATAATGGTAAAAGGCCTTGTCCCACAGGAAAATATCACAATTCTAAAGATATATGCACCTAACACTGGAGCTCCAAAATTTATAAAACAATTAATAATAGACCCAAGAAATGAGATACACAGCAACACGGTAATAGTGGGGGACTTCAATACGCCACTGACAGCACTAGACAGGTCATCAAGACAGAAAGTCAACAAAGAAACAGTGGACTCAAACTATACCTTGGAACAAATGGACTTAACAGATATATACAGAACACTTCATCCAACAACTGTAGAACACACATTCTATTCAACAGCGCATGGAACTTTCTCCAAGACAGACCATATGATAGGCCATAAAAGACTCAATAAATTTAAGAAAATTTATTATATACATGTATTATGTATATCAAGCACTCTCTCAGATCACAGTGGAATAAAATTGGAAATCAACTCCTATTTTATTTTTTAAAACAATATATTTATATTAAAAAATTAAGATATAAATGCAATGTTCACTACCTTGTTATGAGCTTATATTACCCAGGTATATGCATTTGTTAAAACTCAATGAATGTACACATTAGATTTGTGTATTGCATTGTATATAAATTTTACCAAAGAAAAATCAGTAAGTAAATATTAAACTCTATTGAATAACGTGCGTGCGTGCAATGTCTGTAATTTACTTTCTAATTCTTTAAAAAATAAGATGGACCAATGGATGAATAGAAGGATGGAGAGAAACGTGATAAAGCAAGTGTAGTAAAATGTTGACAGTAGAATCTAAAAGGCAATATACAGGTGTTCACTGTAAAATTCTTTCGATTTTGCTACATTTGAAATGTTTTGTAATACAATGTTGGAACAATTAAAAAGAAATGCAATGCTCAAAAGAAATTGAACAAAGAAGTTCTGTCTGGTGTACCAGCTAGGTACCCTTTCATCTTGAACTGCCCCCTGCTTTCCAGAGCATTCTGTAGCCATTTGACCCACAGATGACTGGTCAAATCAAAGAGGGCAGTGATACGTGAAGAGGTGAAGACAGGCTGATATTTCTTGCTGGCATTTATACCAGTTTCCCTACAGGGCATATGTGTGGTTCAATATTGAATATTTAATCTCTCCTAACAAGATTTGTCCTTTGGCTGTGAATATCCCTGTTGTCACTTACTCATCTATCTGTTAGCCCCAACTGAATTGTAAACTCATCCAAGCTACAGTTTGTAACCTCCAGGGTCACACACTCACTGGTTCATCAATATCAATTTTGCTTTCATTAACCACAGAAAGAGAGTAGCTTTTTGGAGTAACAGATTTCAGAAAAGTGTAAGCTGAATTGTCTAGGGAATCAAATCATACCATTTTCATTACCATGTCTCTTAGGGCTTGAAGCCATTCTGGTCGTTCTGTAGATAAAGAAACTGAGGCAAGATAGATTAAGCGATGTATCCAGGATGTTACAGCTACTTTGTGTGGTTATCTTTGTGTATTTTCTTCTTTATGCCCATTTTAAACTATTAAATAAGCTTATAGGATGTGAACCTGAATAAACAACTACCCTGTGGCCAAATACATGCTAGATTGAAAAGGAACTATGAAATTTAAGAGATAACAACCCCTCCAGCCTGTTGGTGAGGTGAAGTGAAAGCAGGGGAACATAGGTAACAGAATGCTCCCCCATCCTCAGTTTGCAACCTCAATTTAAAGGGTCTCTGGTGAAATTATTGAAACATGCTGCATTGTGAATGAACCTTGAGAACAGTATTCTAAGAAGCCAGGTGCAAAAGGCCACAAAGTGTATGATTGTATTTATATGAAATGTCCAGAGTAACTAAATTCATAGACACAGAAAGCAGATTGGTGA